CTTCATAGAGTACTTCAGTTGACTAACAGTACGCTTAAGTAATTAATATTAAAAAATGCAGCTTAGAATGCAAAGGAGTTGTATTTTTTTGAGTGCTGTTGTCCTAAAATGACTATTGTTATGCGAGTTTAAGTGTAGAAGATGTAGATCTTCATGACTACAGTTACTAGTTTTGAGTTTTTGGTCGAAACAAAAAACACAAAAAACTAAAATTATCGATAAAAACTAAATGAAGTCATATTAATGTATTGGTTTTCTCAACATTTACTATTTTTGTTTTTGTGGTGTATGGATGTTTTATCAAATATAGTGCAAAGTGCATCAACAATGAAACGTCTTTAAAATCATAATGTCAACAAGTGCACTCTTTGCACCTGCTGCTCATGTCACAACTTTATAAGATTTGCATGTCATTAAATCGAGACATTACCAGAAACAGAAGTTTTAGGCTTTTTAACTCCCTCGCAGGCTCCAAATGTATGTAGTATCAAAGCCCTTAACAAAACATGTGCCATTAAGCTCTTAAGGACCCTTTCATTTGCAAATCAACGCAGGGAGCAGAGGATTCCCTCCAGTTTCAGGTATCAGGACAATTAGTCTACGCGTAGCTATTTCCAGCTTGCAGCAAATTGTTGCAAAACTTTGTGAATTGTGCTCCAAAATGCCATTCAAATAGTGTAAAGCTTGAGTTCAAAATACAGAACGACATGTTCAAACGTAACAATGCCCAACATCACCAATGCTTATTGTGTTAAATCCTTTAAACCCGTTCTGAAACCAATTCCTATTGATCAACTGCTTAATTTAGAAGTACAGTATGTTATTTGACCTTGGAGTAGGTTGACATGACCGAAGAATGTCAAAAAGGGCGTTGTTTTATCGTCCCGTACAAGTCGTTCTCCCCTCAGGGCACCATAGATCACACATTATCGTGTTGGTTTGTAATTGGTCCCCAATTGTGCACTTAGGAGCTCCCTGACACACCCCCGCATTCCACCTGTACAGGTAAACGTTTCAGTGTACGGATGTTTAAGCGATTCCATGAAGAACCTGAACATTTATAGGGAAACGTGGAGCGGATTCTTTAGATGGTTTGAATGCTTTCATAGTTAAAGTGACTCTGCAAAAGTCAGATCACACGGTTCAAGTCTGGAGATTTTCCCACAGCACAATTGAAACGTTTCACATATAAAAGAAGACTTGAACCTGGAGGGGCATTAAACTCTAATTTAAAATGTCATCATTTAACGTAATGTCTAGCTTTATACCACAATATATTATTAAGTAGCCTGCAATACTTCAAAAACCTTCTGTCTCTCACTTTCCCTTCTGTCTTCAGTGGTGTAAAGTAACTAATTACAAATACTATGTTTACAGTAATTGAGTATTTTTTTTGTCTTTCTACTCTTTTGCTCTTTTTGCTCTTCCGCCTCTCTTTTTTTCTCCCTCACTATACATTTCTCTCTTCCCTTCTCTTTATTTCCTGTCTCTTTAATCTCATTTTCCTTTATTTCTATTTTTTGTTCTCTCTCTTTCTCATGTCTTTCTCTCGCTCCATTCTTTTTTCTTTAATCACTTTTTCTTCCAGCTCCCCCTCTCTATCTATCTGTCAATTTTCTTTCATGCTCTCCTTCTTTCTCTCCTTTCCTTCTATTTCCTTCTTGCTTTTTCTGTGTTTTTTTCTTCTCGTTCTCGTTACCTCTATTTCTATCTTGCTTAGAGGCACCCTTAAAAAATGTGATACCACTCTTGAGTCATTTGAGAAGAGCTACTTTTTACTTGTACTTTGAGTCGTATTTAGAACAGATGCTTTTATTCTACTTTCTTTACTTCTTTGGCAGTACTCTTTACACCATTGCTGTCTCTTACACTCTCTAACCTGTCTGTTTTCGGAATTCCTGCATCTCTCCTCTGTATATCCCTTTGTTTTTGCTAGCAACACGCAACTGTTTGGCCATTTTTCCTTTTTTACTTTGCAACCTCAAACTTTCTCTCATTTGCCTGTGGTCCATAAATTAATTCTACCGGTGAATCCTTCCTACTTCCTACTTTTTTCAAACATACGCCTATTTCCTTTCTATTTGGAATGAACATGGTGGGCATCAGTTGCGTTTTTTTTTCTTCAAATTTAATCGCTAAAGATATCAGAGTAATCAAACTATTTAGTACTTTTAGACACATTACGATGCTTTATACATCAAACTCGTGATGGTAGGAAGATCTCATGAGGTTTCAAAATGGCCAGTAGACATTTAGCTAAGTGAAGTCACGTGTGGTTGCTTAACTCGCATTCAATTTTCCAACTACCATCAAGATCTTAATAGCTGCGTCAACGGCGCTAAATCTTGAATCAAAATGTTCAGTTTGTTCTGGAGCTTGTCCATACAGGGCAGCTTCTATGTCCTGCCATGTGGTGTAGTGGATGGTGCACTGGACAAAGTGGGTTCGATACTCCATCCTGTTGTCTTTCCCATCACTCTTAGCTCCCCCTCCTGCATCACTTCCTGTCTCGCTCCACTGTCTTATCGGTAAATCAATTAAATTTAAGCATTGGCCAAAAAAGTATGCGGTATTGTGATGCTGGTTCAATTTCAAATAGTCTTACCTGTCCCTCCATTAGAACAGTAACACACGTTGCTTTCACTTATTGATGGCACAAAAGTCAATGTCAACGTTTACTTCCAAAAATTGCTTACTTTTAATCACGTTCAACACATGTTTAACTCAAGGGATTCATAAGTCTTTTAGTCCCGTCTAATATCAGAGTGAAAATAGTGTTGAAGAAACCGTTGATCCGCAAGAACAAACGTGTATGAGTCTTAAGGAACCTTTTTTGAATCTCAACCTTTTCTTTTCAATACAACATTGTTCTCTTGATGGTTCCAAAGGGAAAACCTAACTTTGAAAACCTAATTAAAATGTTCAAGGATCTGTGTTTGCCTCATGACAGATAGATGCTTCGCAATGATGTCAAGATCTAGATTTCCATCTTGTGTCTGATTTATGTGTAGTATCTCACCTTTTGGTGAGGATCTAATTTGTTCTCGACAGTTTATCAAAAGCTTGTCATGCGGCTGTCAGTTGATGCGCCAAGTTCTTGGCCTTTCAAGAGTCGAGCGAGGGATTATGCGTCGCGTGTGAACCAAGCTTAAGTAAACCCGATCAGCAATGGCCATTTATTTGGAAAAAAGTGCTTTTTCGAGGTTTGGTTATCCACTGTAATGCATATTTTGCCGCTTGAGTCAAACCCTGGGAAACACCTGCTCTTTCTTCACAGCAGGACGGCGTTGTGGCTGCTCTGGGCCCTGCTTTTGAGAGAGAAGGAAACTGAGACTCCTGCCAGAAAGTGTGCGAGTGAGAGTTTGAGACGGAATGGGATCCTGAGTGAGCCTTATATACGCAACTATTTTTAACCCCTCTCCCTCTCGCCTATCACAGGGCTTCCTCTCTCGGACGCTCAGGAAACAAGCCTGGCTCAGGCTTCCTGCCGGCCCCAGCCAATCGAGGAATGGAAAGCGGTTGAGATGACCAGGCTCTGACTCTACGGGAAACAGCTAAAATCATGGCACATATTTGTGAGATTAGATTGGAGTGCTGTAAGTGACGGTCTGAAAGGGGAGTTTAAAATGGAATTTATATTTTATTCGAGATCATTCTTCCACTATTGGTTTCAATTCTCCTTTCTCAGAGCGTTTACTAATCTTTAAATATGCGTTTTCCTTCTTTCCCAACATTTACTAAGTTCATTTGATGTTTTTTTTGTTGTTTGGTCTCACATGAATGTGACTCTAGGTGCTTGTGGGAATTAGTTGAATATTATTTGTGATACATCAATGAATAATGTTAAGAAGAACAATGGGAAGGTTAGCAAAATGGTGTTGAGCTTTAGCAACAACCTCTAAAGAACTCTCTTCTTGCATCAGATGTGACTAAAATGATTCATCCCGATTTTAAAAGAGCACAACTTTACAGCAGATAAAATGTTGGCTAAAGTTTGTGCACAAATTTTGACGTTGGTTTGTAAAAGTGCCGTTTAAATGTATTATTATTATTAGGAAAATGGAACAGTTACCAACGTAGAATTAATGGTGATTATGGAGGAGTCAGTGACATTATACAAAGTTCCCTATGCCAATATGAGTGATATAAACCAACCCCGATGTCTCTTTCATTTACCACTGGCTTCGATAGAGTTCAGAAAATTTGGTTGCTAGGTAGCCTTTGGTGATGTCATAAACATGATTAATTTGTTACTATGGTTAACATAATCAAATCCATTTTTCTCTACGATGTTTCATCGTGAAGACATTTTCGTTGCCTTTTCCCATATATTTTCAATAGCCATAGTAAATCAGTGGTAAGTATTTAACCCCTTCAAAAGTAAACAGTGGTTGGTATGTTCTTGTAATTTTCAGTGATTTCACAGCATTTATTTTGCGTAACCAGTATGAAAAGGTATTGCAACCCAATTCAGACCAGTTGACCTGTGTGTTTACCAGACACCTTCATGTGTCTTTGATTGAGTTGATCATTGCTAATTGGTATCAGCTGTGTGACTAGTTAAAGCCTGAGCTACACTTTTAATGAGCATGTGCAATACTCTGGGAACGGAAGACTGGCTGGTCACTTGAGATAGAGACCTCTTTGGAGACAGGCCTATGCTTCCAAAGCTCTGCTCAGAGCTAAGGAACGAGTCTTTGCTGGAACTTCTACTGCTGAGAAGAATCAGAAAGAGCTTTATAGCAAAGTAGGTTTGCACTTACAAGGAATTTGTGTTGATGACCAGTTGCACTTTTCTAAATAAAAACAGTAAAAAGAAAGAAATAATTAAAGAGAAAAAAATAAAAAGTATAATTAACACTGGAAATAGCAAAGTAAAATGAAGTTGCAGAAGATATTGCTCAAAGGTTCTATTTACGTTACATTTATGCATGTAGCCGATGCTTTTATTCAAAGCAACTTACATTTAAAAGAACGGACAACTTTTTTTTGTCAGTTTTTGCTTTCCCTGGGATTTGAACCCACGACTTTTGCGTTGTGAGCAAAATGTTCTACCGACTTAGCCACAGGAAAGCTACAAAAGAACAGGAAAGAACCAAATCTGGTTTAGAACCAACCATAAAATGTGTGAAATAAATACATTTTGGCAAAATGCACATGTATAAAGCACGTTAAAAACAACAAAGAACTACTACAAGTATCAAAAAGACCAAAAGTTCTTCCAAAACAAGCAAAAAAGGGTTCTTTAGAGCGAAAAAGTGCTATATAGCATGTTCAAATCTGCAAAGAACCTTTATTTTTAAGAGTGTGTTGTCATTAAGACTTAGCTCACCTTCCAGTTTAGCAGTGAGGTTTTGTCTGTTCAGCAGTATTTACTTTCCGTATTATTCTGAGTAATGAATCTTTCTCTAACTTTGGATGATTAGCGGTTTATCAATTTTGTTTTGCATTACTTGCTGGCATCTTAATAAACACCTTGTTTGAAAGTCACCTCTTCCTCGACTTCTGTCCAGTCACCTTGGCTCTGTCCTGCTTTATTACACAGAGATGCACTTTATCACTCATTAGAGTGAATTATTTTAAGCCTTAGAGACTCTGATCTGAATTTTTGGTCATAAGTTTTGTGACAACGCAATTAGAAAACCATGGGTGCCAACGGGAAGATGCTTCCTGCCAGAAGATGGCGTTTGCGTTACAACAGATGCACTCCGTGCCACACTGGGAAACAGAAAAGAATAAGACGACAACAGAGAAGTAATCAACTAAATGTGGAGAAATGTGGATTTGTGGCGCAGTATGACTCCGAGTATGATGCCCTACTCACGTCATCAAAAAGAGCCCGCTTTCATTGGTCATTCTCTTTGCGAAAAACGAATCCGATGTGGCACTCCGAAACGCTTTTTTTTTTTGTCGACACCACTCGTTCTGTCTGGTTTCGAAAATTGTCATCAGTGTGTATTTGCTGTCTAGTGCTTTTATGAACGGGGACGTCGTGAACACGTCGGTAGTTTTGTCTGAACTTTGGTTGCACTCTACTGCTTGGTGAAACTTAAGTTCATTATTTGCTCAATTCTTGTTGAGTTTGTACAAGCAGTTCTTCGAGTTTTAATTCCTTTTATTGATGCAAAAGTTGAATAGTCGCTACATTAGCTTTCGGACAAGGTCTCGGTGGAAAGAAATCTTGCAAATTAAGAGCCACTTAATAGTATGAGCTGTTGAGAACAAACTTTCCGGTACTGGAGGAAAAGATTTGGGTGACTTGTCCATGCAGTAACCCATCGAAACGCCCAGTCGTGTTCCCATTACATTTGTTTACTTTCTTCGCTAAATGAAACACTCAATGGATAGTAAAACGATTTGCTAACAAATTTATGTTTACTGAGTCCCACGCTGAGAAGAAAGCAGCTAAAACACTTTCTAAACCACTTTGTTTACCGTTGACACTCAGAAAAGCATGTCTGTTTATTCTCAAGTCAAGAGTTTGATAAACATCTTTTCATAGTGCCGTCTCCTTGTGGTGTTGAGAGCGAAAGATGGATTGTATTCAGTGGGAGATTTTTTCCAATTGAGTCAGCTCATGTGGATTTAATTGACTTGGTTGTTCTCCTTGGGGAGACCAATTTACAGCCTGTTAACACTTGACATCATGCAGGTTGTGTGTTTGAACACAATTTGGGATGTTGACTGTGAAATATGCGTGAGTGAAGATATTTGCTGCAGTTAATCAAGAGATTTTGGCCATGGACGCAGAATAAAAATCTTATCAGTGGCTTCTGGATAACGTGTTCCTAATTTTTGTTATGTTACACTGTCGAAATGTTTATAGGCTTTGATACGATGTTGAGCTCTCGTCTTTGGGAGAAATCATTCTCGATCCAAAACTCTTTCTTTCCACCGGTCACAGCTGTAGCGTAAACTCGAGTCATCGTTCAATCAATCTTCCTTTCATCCTGGTCAAAGTGACACCATGAGAATGTTACCGAAATGAGTTGTGAGCGATGAATCCAGAGATGGCAGATTGGGAAGTTACAAGCTTGGGCTGCAATGTTTTGCAGTTGAACCTGGCAGGGTTCGTGGAGTTTCAACATCTCCCCGTTTCACTGTTATAAGTCTTGAAGCCACAGGAATTGCCATGGTGGGCTGCCAAAATTCAGTTCCTTTTTATGCAGGAGTGGGAATTATGGACAAAGAGAGAGAGAGGGAGTTACAATGGAGAGTTGAGTCTCTAAAACCAGGCGAGTTTACGCGCCAACCTGACCACAAACGTATCCACGTTTCCTTAAATCTTGCCAGCTGCACAAATACACCAACCCGCTTTTACACACAGGTCTCTTTCTACTGCTGCTTTGAACTCGTTAATGTCTTAAAATTGATCCTCCGAACTGCACCGCAGGTTATCAGCGCTTCAGGAGTTCCAATACAATCATCAATGCTTTGAGAAACGATGGAGCACACTATGTTCTAAGTTGTTTTTGTCCATTGGGAACTGGTAAAACTGTTTATTAGGCTCAATTAAGGTGTTATGTACAATGTGTGCGCCACCATGCATGTTTGTTGTCTCACGGAGTCTCTATGTACTGTGCTCTATGAAGGTACACTATTATTGAGGAATGCAGTGTGGTATGTCTTTCCCTCCCGTCACTCCTGACACACATTCGCTTCACGTGAATTATAGCTCTCAGGCAGCATAAACTCCATGGCAGGATCGTGCACTTGGGAACAGCAAGTTCTGTGGTTTTTCTCCCAGGCCATTCCTGATGGTTTTCCAGGATTATTGTTGAGGCATGCAGTGTTTGAAAGATGACATGCCAGGCTTGTGTTTGAAAATATTCCCTCTCCGTTGACCAACCCCCTTTTTTTCAGGTTGATTCAGTGCCTCGTAGGAATGCACTAAAGAGCATCTTTCATTGAACACTTTTAAGTTGGTAAGAAATATGGATTTTGCAAACAGAATATTTCTTAACGACTCACCAGCGTTTGAGTTAGATGTCCCTTAACTGACATACACAGGTCCTAGAGAGAATTACTGAAACTTTAGAAGGCCATCAATGCACTGTATGTACCTGCCCTGCTCAGGGCAATAATAAAATACTGCAGTTGGTGCCGTGACCCGGTTGAACTGAGATTTCTGCAGGCAACACAGAAGCTGTGAAATTAAATATGGAAGTTGGGCAACTTCCCAAAATGTTCACACTTTTGCCAAAAGTGTTCACTTATCCATTCAAATATTTGAAGATCGAGGGTTTCATTCCAGCCCTTGTCTTTTGCTAGCTGTACAAAATGTATTACTAGGCTATCAAATTGATATACTGCACATCTCAGTTTTTAGGCCATGTCCACATGGGTTTTTTAGGAAAACTGTTTTTAGAACACTATGTACAAAAAAGCACACATCCACACGTCCATTAAAAAAAAAGTATCCCCACGGACACTGAAACACCCCTGAAATGCGCAGTGGCAGTTGATTGATGGCGTTTTTAAAATGATTATTGAGCACTGCATGTGCAAAAACCCAAGCGCCTCTGTTCAGTGATCAAATGGGAAACTTGCGCATGTAATCCAGTGCATGCTGTAAGCCACAATAGAGGATAGTTCTCTCTTTGGCCACCATTACTCTGTGATATGGCTTTTGTTTTTTTAATTTTCTGGCAGTAAATAACGTTTTTTTTTTTGCTTTTTGGGAGATTTATGATTTTTTATTCTGTCTCAACACTTTAGATTTTTGTTAAAAACATAAAAAAGCAATTAATTCAGATTTTTTTTTTAGATTTGTATGGTAAAAAATGACAAAAATTTTTTTATAAAAGTATTTGTGTAATCAAATGGGCACATGTGTACCAAACAGGGCAAACTACATTACCACCACACTACCACTTTTCCTTGTTTTACAAAAAAAATTAGCACGCATATCCACAAAAAAACTGTTTAAAAGGTAATTTCTTAGAGCAAAATAGTAAAAAAAATGTAGCTTTATTCTTTTTCTACAATTCTGTCCAAATGTTTTGGCAATGCCACAGAATCTTTGGTAAATTCCAGCCACAAAACAATAAAGGGACATCTTGATAAAACACTTTTATTTTAACCAATTCTCTGCCTTTTTTTTGTTATGAGGAGTCTTGGCATTTGACCTATAATAGATGGCATTTGAAAAATGAAGCACAGCAATATCTTAAATCTTCATGACAAGTATTAGTTCAGCTTTTGAGATGTTTCTTTTGAGTTTTTTTGTAATCATTTTTCTAAGCAAAGGTGGGACGGTTTGATTCCCTAAGATGCAGGGTATGCTGTAGTAGAAAGATCACACTCTTGTAAAGCTGTGTTTTTCATTTTTTTGTGTGAGTCAGGTGTACCATTTTGTGGTTTACTCCATGCTTGATCAGATAGATAGACTATAGGCCTCTCTGTACAATTGCTTCACACTTCAACCCTGTGCACTCGCTGCATTGTGTGTCTGAGCGAGGACTGTCAGCGTGTGCCTTCACAGGATGTGTGGTCTGTTAAACCACAACTCAGTTTCAGTGCTGACTACCTCCAGTAGCAGCCATGCACCCCACACCCAAAGCTGCACACTCTCAGCAAGATGCTAATGCCTATCGCCAAACGTCTTTGTAAGACGATGGAAACACAATCAGGCTTTTTGAATCTTGCTTTGTCCATGAACTGCTCATAATCGTTTTTGTAGACTGTAGGAGGGTTTTTTTTTTAATTTTCATTATATATATATATATATATATATATATATATATATATATATATATATATATATATATATATATATATATATATGCATTCAAAACTTCATTTACTGCATTTTCTCAAATTTTAGCATCAGCCTCAAACAGTTTGCGGACAAATCTGACCAATTTCACATTGTGACTCATACATATGCAAAAAATTGAGCAGTACACTACCAAAGACATTCTTAAAACAATCTTTAAAAGCATCAAAACGGCGTTAAATAATTCCAGTTTCTTTCAAAGCTTTTAAATGGTACAAGAACATCTGTGACTTTGAGACAGTGGACCTCAGAGGTCAGTACAAATGAAGAAAAACAAAGCAGTGCATGACCCCTTCA